CTGCCGAGCAGGGAGCCCGATGCGGGACTCGATCCCGGGACTCCAGGATCATGACCTGAGCCGAAGGCAGTCGCCCAACCAGCTGAGCCACCCAGGCGTCCCTCTTGCAGAGTTTCTAAAAATTAGCATCAAATGCTGGTTGTATGCATCTCAGTGTGAGTTCTCCTGCACGTTGTGTGGTTTGGTATATTGAGTGGCCCTTAGTTGGTCTTTGTAAGGAGAGTATCTCCTGAAATGGGGCTAGTGCACCGTCCACGACACAGAACACTGGAGCCAGTAAACACATAAAGGGACTGGGAAAAGTGGAGAAACAACAGGTGACAAAGGTATCAAGAATTGGGTGGACCCCAGTGTCATTTGCCTTTATGATTTCTCTGTATATTTTTGTGGCTACACATGTGAACAGGAGGGGAGTTGGAAAGCTAAGAGCTCCCTAAGAGGGAGGTGTGTTTAGCTTTTTATTATAAGATTACAAGGATTTTCCAGGTTTCTATTGTGATGCATGAAACTTCTTAGCACTGGCAAGAAAAGAGTTGAGAAAAAGTGCAACAAATGAAAATGAGTGAGGTAGGGATATAATTCAGAGGAGACCCAGAGGGAAGCCTTGACTGGACCTCTGTTTCCTCTGTGTCGGACAGCCTTGGTTTTGCTGTCCGGCTAGGCTATGCAGAGAGATCATCCAGAAAGGTTCACCTGGGTCCCATGAGTTTGCCTAATCTGCATCTCATGGATTTCAGCTAACTCTGTAATCATGGTTCCATTAGGAAGGCTGCCACACATTGTTTAATACTGTTTGGCTGAGACTAACCTTTTGTCATGAGGTATCCATGCAATCACATTGTTGTGTTTGCTTGTTTTTTGGAGGAAGAGAAGATAATAAATAGTATATAACTGGTTATATTTCAGACAACATCTTTTACTGTTTGTCTTCTTGGATTTAATCAGTAGTCTCCAAAATAATTTACTTCCTGACTTAATTTTCTCCTCAAACCAATTTACAGATAAAAACCACTGAAGTCCAAATTCAATAGTAAATACTATTTAATAATGTAAAATACCATTTCATCTCACAATTATCCACCATCTAGACTCTGATATTCTGATGAGGTTCTGTAGATGATATTTCTGTAAGTCCATTTGGCCAACAAAGAATATCTTAATTTTTCACTGAATTTAATTATGAGAGAATCAAGAATTAGGACTTCAGTTCTAACACACTCTATCCTTGTTTCTGCTCACAGATTTACTGTACACATCTGTAGGGATCTATGGTAAACCTCGAGTCAGATAAGAATTTCTTAAGTATTCTGAGTCATGGGCAGTCTTCCAGAAAGAGGGACTTGGGGAGTGATGTTTTAAACAGGTGGGAGGCTTGACTGAAAAAAGTGAAACTGACGTAACATCTGTGTTAAAAGACTCAAGTATTTGGGAGGAAATGAAAAACAAAGCAACTCTCAGATGTATGCAGAAAAAGAGAAAGAGCAGACAAGGAGAAAGAGCAGACAAACCAATACCCTAAATATATGAGAAAGGGCAAAAAGAATTACTTGGCATGGATCCCTAGCATTTAGAACAAAATACAATATGAGAAAATTAGAGAAAAGGGTGATTTGGATCATCGGAAAAATGCATTTGGTAGGGAACTGTGTCGTGTGAAATTCATGAAACCATCCCTGTTGGGTATGTTTTCACCTCACCTGGAAGAAGCACTTCTGAGTGATGACTAAAGGAACCTCAGTGATGTCATTAGCTTGGGGTTGGAGGCTAGGACTTGAGGCATGTTAAACTACCTCCTGGTTCCCAGACATTTGCAAATGCATAGGCCTTAGCTTCTAATTAAGATGACCCTAACTTGATATTTCTTATTGGCTTTACCAAAACAACCTGATTAGGGTAGGTTTTCAAAAGGATGGGTGTGATTATCCTCTGATCTTGGCACAATAGGGATAGAGTAGGGAAAGCTTTGGGTAACATTTAGCAGCATGTGAAAATAGAGGATGCTCTACCAGGTGGGATGATTGGCTGAGCTCCACGTGGGTCGGCGACATCCCAGAGCGTGGTGGGACAGTCTGATGGACTCCGTGGGCCTCCATGCCCACATCTCTGCTCTATCTCCCTTTGACAGACAGGAATGTGTTTCTGAGTGTTATTTGTCTGCCTTTCTCTTTACCACCCTTCTCAGTCCCATTTTCTCTTTTTTTAAATAATCATTTTGAGGCCAATCAACTGTGGGGATTAAAGGGTTATAAATCTTAAACTATTATTTAGGAGAAAACTTAGTAACAGAAGCCTAGCTTCTGAGAAGCACGATAAAAAAAATGAATTTTCACCTATTCTCAATTCGGTCTCAGGATATCCTCAGTTAAGCATTAAAAATATTAATCAAAATTGATCAAAAGGCAAATCTGAAGAACAGGTTAAGTGTAATAGGGAAATAGCATCCCAAGCCATTTCAGCGAGTACAAATGTAGAAGCCGGTTCTTGCTCCTTTTGACCTCCAGGTGGTGCTGTTTACCTAGACGTGGAAATCAAGCGCCCAGCCCCATTTCTTTCCTTTAGGTTCATAGCTGGGCTTTCATTTTTTTCAAAACATTTTCCGTTTCTACAGATGTGTTCTTTTAAATGGTCAATAAATTTTTATAACCACTATTTGAAAAATTGCAAGATTATTGTTATTTGTGCTTCCTAGCCAAGAATATTTCTTTATGTGCGGGACACACCCAGAGTCAGGTGTTTACATTTTTGTTCATTGATCCCACCTGGTCTGCCGTTCCTTGCTTCTAAGAACCCAGGCTCAGCCACAGACAGTTGGGCTGTCAGTAGAACTCATCCAAATCCCTTTAAACACTTACGTGATTTAAAAATAAATTTGTAGTTCAGTTAAGGCAACTCAACTCCATTGGCTTCTGAGTAAAGAACACCATCTTTATGGGAATGCTTTTATCCCCCAAAGCCAGGGAGTGCTCCTCACAGGCCTGACCTGATTTTTTGGTGAGGGGGCACTTGTCAGACACCAGAAATGTTTTGATGATCAGAGGACACCTTTATAAAGACACCCGACAATCCAAATTCTTCAGAAAAAAATGTTCCTAGGGAAAAACTGAGAGGGAGTCATGCACAATGTCTTTCTATTTTGATAGATTTCAGTGTCAGGAACAGTGGAAATTCCATTCCACAGTGTGGAACTAGAATGGGAAGGCAGTGGTATCAATTTTATCCTCCATGAGGTTTGGAATTTTTCAGATTGGCTTTAAAGAAATGATCAACTAACATGCTTTTCTTGTCCTTTTTCCCCCCTTCTCTTTTCTGTCACAAAGGGGTTTGTAAACAAGCTGGATGAATTCATTCAGTGGTTAAATGAAGCCATGGAAACCACTGAGAATTGGACACCCCCTAAAGCAGAGACGGATGGCCTTAAGCTGTACCTGGAGACACACTTGGTAGGCAAGACTGTGTTACTTTTGCTCTTTGTAATGAAAGTATTTTAATGCACTGCTTGTTTGTTTATGGGGAATATCAATTTTATTTATCAGAAGTCATTATATGCTAATGAAACCAAGTTTTAATGGGGTAAACTACAGAAGCTGAAAATTTACAGGCATTTCAAGTAATATACTATGAAATTTAAATCCTTCGTATTTCAAGCTATTTTTTTCAAAACTTTTCCCAGAAAGGTAAGTAATTAACTTAAAAATACCTTAGAAATTTTGCTTGACTCTTGTTCTCGAAAGCTATGATTGAAGGTTTTTCCTCTTCTGAAAAAACAAATAAATGAAAGATAATTTTGATGACCATTCTAAGCTTTCTAGAATTCTTGTAAAATTAATGAACCTCTCATTATCAAGAGGGTCTACATTATCTGTTCTACACTGGGTTATTTTAATAAAATATTTAAAACGATGATCTCCGTCATTTTTGCTGCTATGTGATTTTTTCAGCATATAATTAATACAACTGTCATTACACTCGTCCCTGTGCACAGGGAAAACCATGGAGGGGAAGTTGAAAATACTTGGATGAATATGCTTCTGAATATGTTAGAAGCAAGAATTATAGACTGGGGGACATTTGATGAACCTCATGAGGTTTTTACTGAATGCTTCAAATGGCCGATATCAATTATGAAGGGGTGGAAACCAAGTAGTGGAGTGTGATAAAGCATGAAGAAAAAGCACGTTGTCATAGGAAATGAAAATTCAGGCTTTAAGGATCTCATCTTTATTCCTTTCACCGATAGCATAAAATTGACAAAGGCAATGAACACGAATCCTTGGGTACCCAACTGTGGGGTTGATTTTCTGCCCCTCTTACACACTCAGAATTTGGATTGAATAAACATTGTGTGGGAGTCCTACATGTGTGCAAATTCACAGGTTTCCTGACGGTTCCCTGTGACGTTAAATGAGAGAATGAGAGAGAGAGGGAGAAGACAGGGGAGAAGAGGGGAAGGAGAGCGAGGATGTGTTAGGCTTTTGGTGTTTGCGGTTTGCAGTATGTTTTATATCATTGCAAGTAAAACAGCCTCAAAATCCTATTGCTGCATGAAAATAGTTTTGTGGATGATAAAAGATGACAAAACTATGTGTAAGAGGATGAGTGTATTGCTTCCCTTTTTAGAGACCTGGGTTGATGGTGTGTAAAAATGCCAGTGACCCTAACCACCTCTCTTGTACATGGGTTTTTAAATATTGCCCTTGGTACTCAATTCCCTATTCAGTAGAGCCTTGATTTTTTTTTTTTAAAGAGGGCATTTCATAATAGGAAGATAAAGATATTCAGTGCTTTATAATGTAAATTGTATTAATTAGAATGTCAACTTTTCACTGGCATTGTTCTGACAGAAATTCTAATCTGTGTTTAAACAGGAGTATATGAACTTTATTTCACATTAAGTGTGCTGTCTTAATTTCTCCTGATTTAATATTTTATGGAAAATACACATTTAGTTTTCAAGGTCCCAGAGGGCATGAGGACATAAAGAGTGCTTTAACTCTAGGTTGTTTGTTGAAAGCCAGGCTAAGAGAGTATGAACCAGGGTCTCGCTTCTCTTTGGGAGTTGAGCAACGAGGCCTCTTTGTAAACAGTTGTACATTCGTCGTTCTCAAGTCCCTGTTACAGAGTTCCTTCTTTAGCATCCCTGTGTTGGCCTCTGCCTCATTCTAGCCCACCCTTATTCACTAGAACTTTCTGTGAGAATGGAATATTCAAGGTTGCACTGTCCAACATGGGAGCCACTCGCCACATGCATCTGCTGAGCACTTGAAATGCGGCTAAAGCAACTGAAGAAATGAATTTTTAATTCTAATTAACTTACATTTAAATGTAAATTGCCACATGTAGCCTGTGACTACTGTATTCTAGCCTTAATAAGTTGCCAAACTCTTTACAGCTGCCCATAATGAATTGCATGTACGTAAACCTGCCTCATAGTGACAGTCTCATCCAAAACGTGGACCCCACCATCCCCTTTGCTGTGAGTCTCTATGCTACATCTATAGCTAAGAGTCCTTAAAATGTTTATCTCTTAAAGAATAACCTTGTTGTTGCCTAATGATCAACACTTTCTTGAAATGAGTTTTCTCTATTATCATGTCTAATTGTATTGGTTGGAAGAGAGATAACATAGGAACATCTTTATCTCTGCTTTGCAAAGAGTGAGGTACTTTGCTCTCCAGACCTGCTCAGTGAATGTTAAGTTGCAATCACAACTTTGACTTCTGAAATTATGAATAATACTGGCTACCAGTTAGTGAAGACGTAGTGTGCATGGATCAGCAGTGATACTTACTATGGACAATTACTAAGTCACTGCTGAGCTGCATGCAGTGTCTGTTACTCTAGATATAGCCTGTTGTTTAAATGTCTCTCCAACAAACTGAGTTACTCTGTGTCTCTGAGGACAATGTCTACATTGTCCTCTTGATCGATACTGTCATTTATATTTTTTACTGTATTTCCTTACTGTGGTGCTAAGTTAATATTAAGTTATTCTTCTCAAAAGAAGGCAAAAGAATGTCTGCCTTCCCATAAAGAAAGTATACAACTAAGCCCAGAGATTTATATCCTTGAATTGAACTTGTGTAAGTCATTACTGCTCCTTACTGAGTGGGCGAGTGGTATGTACAAGATTATCCAGTATGCAGAGATAGCTATATGAGTTTCTTTAAACACCTCTGTAGATTCTATAATTTAACATTAAATCAACAGACATGCGAGCCCCCGACTTCAGTGTCTTCCCTGGTTTAACAACGGGTTAGAAGAGTTGGCACCCTGTTATTGTAAAGAAAAACAAACATAAAAACAATAACAAAAGTTGTACGTTTATATTTTGATACTTAATTCAATTATTTTCCATGACGGTAACCAAGGGTTTTTACCAACACAAATCAATTAAAGTTTCACAATACCTTTATGAGAGATACGAAGGAGCTTTATTTTAACTGTAAGAAATACTGTGAAATTGCGATGATACATCAATGATTTTCCATGATATTTAATCATCTGCTTGCAACCCGGATGCTCCTTTCAAAAATACAATTCCTGTCTTCCTAGAAAATGACATTCTCAGGAAAATGTCATTCTGGAAAGGTATTTTGTGAGTACTGAGCATCCCTCTTCTTCGAAAACCACTTTTAAAACAGTATTGTATACATATATTCTTGGACAGATTCCCTTTTTCCTCACCTCTGTCTACTTTTCTTCTTAAAACAGCTTTATTGGGGTATAACTGGCATACAATAAATTGTATATATTTAAAATATATACATCTACAAGTTTCGACAAATTGGCAAATGCATACACCCATAAAACCATCTTCACAGTCAAGATAGTGAATGTATCCATCACTTCCAAAGGCTTCCTCATGACTCTTTTGTAATTCTTTCCTCCCTTCCCTCCTGGCCTTTCCCTAACCCTTAAGCAGTCACTGATGTGCTTTCTGTTACTATGAAGATTATTTTGTACTTTCTAGAATTTTACATAAATGGAGTCAAACAAAATTTGTCCTCTGTCTCTCTCTCTCTCTTTCATCTCCTCCCACCCCCCGGGTTTCTTTCACCTATTTTGATGTTGCATGTTTCAACTGCTTATTCATTTGGATTGCTGAGTAAGAATCCATTGTACAGATTTATCACAATTTGTTTATCCTTTCACCTGTTGACGGACATTTAGGTTGTTTCTCTCATCACCTTTCTTAGTGGCTAAAGAAACAGAAGTCACCAAAAGCTACATTTGACTAGATGCATCATAAATAGAAGCATCATAAATAGTTCTGGGCAGACTATTTAGCTGTTTGCCTTTACGAGAATTCATAATATCTTCAGAGTGAGAGTACTTATGAGTAAAGCAGCAGAGCAGGACAGCAACTTCTCCCTCTAGAGATTTCATTCCACATCCATATTTGCTTCTGACAAGATAACTCTGATCTCCCAAGTAGTTTTTATGCATGCCTAACTCACCAAATGGGCGCCACATCATATAAAACCACTTGCAGGAAAACAAACCAGCAGGTTTTTTTTGTTTTTTTTTTTTTACATCTATAGCCAATCAGGTATCTAGTAGGAGAAAGCAAAGTCTAGCTGACTCCAGACAGTTGTGCAAGCGTTGGGAAGAAGAACTAAGCACAGGGGCCTGGCTTAAACTTGGGAGATGAATTTGCATAGGTAGTACCATGTCATATTGGGCAAACATTAACCAATCACATAGAAATAGCGTTGGAGGAACAATACTCTTAATTCAGTTTGATGAATGAGAAAACATGGGGAGAAATGGTGATGAGGAGTTCATGTATATCAAGCACTTGTGGATGCCAGGCAATTATGTAGGTGCTAGGAATACATGATGAATGCGTTTGGCTTCTTTCTTCCAGGGATTTGCAATCTAAGAGAGATGACCATAGATTAAATGTAGTCCCCTATAGAGCCGTACATGATAAATGTAATATAATTTTGAGCAGTAAACTTCTTGTAGGATAAGCCAAGTACTGTTAGGAGCACAGAGAGGTTTCATTGGTTCTTCCTGAGAGTAAAGAAGGTTCAAAGAAATAATTGGATATAGACCTCGCAGGCCATATATAATTTTTTGGATAGAGAGGAGAGGAGAGGAGATGGGAGGAAATTTTATGGGCAGGTAAGGGAGATGTGGTGAGCCATCCGGTGTGGCTGAGACCAGGTTGGGGTCTTGCAGGTTGGGGCTGATGGTGAAGGAGATTGAATGTCTTTTTAATGGGTTGAACATTTCTCTGGGAACAAAGGGATTCTCTGAGGGTTTGATTTTATTTTAAAACAGGAGAATGACATGAATCCACTGTAAATTCCATTGGGGTAGGGTCAGTTTGACATCGATTAACTGGATGAGGTCCATGGCTTAGAGAAAGAATAACTATGAGCATAATGGAAAATGGATTTGAGTATAACATTTGAAAGATATGCTGGTACAGACA